CCTACTCCCTCGTGTGCCCTTGCCTCCCACGACTAGAGAGAGAGAGAGAGCGAGACCAATTCGAATAGTGCTTACCTGCAAGTAGTTGCAAGTATATGTTTGAGTCAGAGAAGTTGTGTGTGTACTCATTAATTTATATGAAGAACGAATCCTTGAGTCTGTCTACAAAAGGTTAAATTCCATAATCCATGTATAATATTCCTTGTAAAATTAGAATAATGCAATGAAACACAAGCATGACAATAATTACATCTAACATTGTAACAATACCTCTAAGACTAGTGCATTGGTGTTTATACTCATTAATTTATATGAGGAATGAATCCTATATATGCAACTCTCTGTCTACAAAAGGACAAATTCCATAATCCATGTATAATATTCCTTGTACAATTAGAATAATGCAAAGAAACACAAGTATGACAATAATTACATTTAACATTGCAACAATACCGCTAAGACTAGTGCATCAGTACTGAGAGCGTCAATTTGCTCCCTAAGCTGCCCTTTAGTAACAATGATTGAGGACTGAGGGAAAAAATATCCTCTTAAGGGGTAATATATGGAATAGAAAGGAGGGTTACCAGCTATTCTCACAAATCCTGAAGCTGGTCTACAAACTGTTTCATGCTGTATGAGAGAATGGCATGGGTCCTAGGGCGCCTATAAAATAAATTTTCACACAAGTCTCTCTAATCGGCTTTTTACTTTCTTCAGAAGGTGCGTTGAAAATAATCATTACATAAATTTCCTTATCAAGTCCAATTTAATAGGGCTCTACCTGGGATGAGTATGTATGTAGTCTTCAAAATACTATCAAAAAGTCAAGACGTGGAGCATGTCTGTATCAGTGAATAATAGGAGGATATTTCTTGATGCCTGTTTTCAACTAAAATTCTTCTCTAAGCCATATTGTCGATTCACGAAACTTTCATGCTACTTTACTTCTTGATTGTGGATTGTCCAGATGCCTTTTCATCTTCCTGTGTAATCTACAAGATATTTCTGGATGAAGATAACGTGACTTAAATAAGCAAGAGAATATAATATTTACATGAGGTGAGGAGTGGTAGGGTAGTTGCTAGAGAAGGGGTCTTGGATTAGATCTAGAACGTTTCAGCTTCTCTATATTTCTTCTCTATTAAGCCCTTCAATGATAAGAGTGAAAGGAACCATTCTTGCACCCTCTTGTTCGAATGAAAAACTCGTGCCAAATCATTAAACATTCAGTGAAAGCCTGAGAAGATACTCGCTGCTCCACCCAACAAAACCAAGTTTTGGAAGGATGCCGGAAATAAAATTTCATGAAAATCTATCATATGGACTACTTAGGTTAATCGTGGTTAGCAGGTCCTTCTATTGCAATGGATATTGTTCATGAGCTCATTACCATCTAAATCATTGTTGTTAATGGAGTTCCCTACAATGGATACTACTTGGGAAGGGTTGACTAGCTTAGGTAAGACAAGTTCAAATCTATTCCGAGGAATTTTCATAATAAATTGTAAAAAACATTGCAAATGTTCATAGGACTATAATGGAAAGTACGTGCGAATTGTATGCCTTTTTGGAGGAGCTAAAGAAAACTATGATTAATGGTTCTTAGAAGTTTACCCATGATGATGAAGTCCACACAATCTGCTGACATTGTGCCCACCATATACTAACACCTCTAGTTAAGGAGGCTGCGAAACCATCCAGACCGAGGGCTTCCTTGATCTTCCAATTGGAAAAAATTGAGTTTTTCCTTTATAATCCTCGTCAAGAATTTATTGTCCTCAATGTAGAGTTCCTCAACGTACAATACCTCAACGTAGAATACATCAGCTAAGTTTGGGATTCATAGTGAGTTCCTTTTTGCTGTGAGTTGGCCTTTGTAGTGAGGTTTGCTTGCTATCTCTTTCTACACTGTATTTTTCTGCCCATCTTTCAGTGAACATAAATCCATATAATGTTTTTGTCCCCATCATCCTCCTCAAAATTTCCCCTATCTTGAATTTGGCTTACTCCTTCACTCTTTCTTAATTTCCTTGCATTTATATATGGAAGGATCATAGTTCAAAGAGGAGTTCCAGCCTGTGTAGCTTGCCCCTTGATTGATGTATTTAATGTACTACATATCAAGAAACCTTAGTTTTCCACTAACTGAACTCCTCCCTAGACGTGTTCAAAATTTTTATCACCCCATATCAGTCATTCAATATTTCTTTCACTATCAGGTGCTCATTCATGTTACCTGAAACTTGAAAGGCATCAGGCCCATTCTTCTGATTTTCTTTAGAGTGATTGGAGAGGGTATTTGCTGCATAGTGCATATATCCCTAGGCAAAACCATGTCTTTCTGTCATCCATCTCAATGAGCTTCTCTCTTTGTTCTATCATGTAGAGAAGTTCCAATGTAGACCTTGAGCTATTTCTTAAGGACGGAGACAATAATCCATGTCTGATTAAAAGAATCCAATTCTCCTACCCAAAGTTTGCCTAGTCCATTACGACGTGTCCATACAAGTTTGTACCTTCCTATGAATTTAAAAATAAAATTTATGTATCCCTATATGAAATCACTATGTAACTTTTCAATTATAAATTAGCTTAAGACAATAGAACATTTGGATTGAAATCAAAGTCACACATGTTGAAATCATTTACACAAGTGCCAAATTGTTTGGATATGTGTATCTTACAAAGTGCCTTCAAAATGGACAAATGTCCGGTTTATCCATTCTATGAACTCGTGTTCCCACATAGCAGATACGCCGTGTCTGTGGATCCAAAAAATTAAAGTTTCTAGACACTTTCATCGACATGGATTTTTTGTGTCCGTCGATGTGTGGTAGTGTGTTGCCTTGTGGGATTCTCCTAAACATATTCGACATGCATGTTGTTATTAGATAGCCCTCGAGGGATCTCACACGATATGTAATTAAAGTATAAGGGTTATAAACCATAGTTATATCACCAGTTGTTTGGTCTTGGTGGTTCAAGCGCCATTTGTATCCCCCAGTAAGTCTTGGAGTTTTTCATGTCTCTCCACCTATATGGACGTTCCCCGATCTCATGGCTCTGCTGCCTGTGACGCTACATTTCCAAGAAGGTTTGCAATGACTTCCCTAGCTGCTGGACCCTGTAATTCATCATACAGACCTGGAACTCTCACCCAATTTGGGGTTTCTATTTGCTCATTTCTTGTTCTCAGCTTCCACTGTTCAAGCACCAAGCATCTACTGGCTGTGGGAAACAAGGCCTTGTCCCACAGCCGACTCATATCCCATGGAATATTTTACTTCTGTCTGGTCCTTTCGGAAGGACCTCAAAGTATCTCTTGGTGCTCCATCTCCTGGCCAGACTTGACTTCATCAAGGGCCAACATGGCCTTTGGCCTTAGAGAATGGGGACCAGTTATAGCCTCATATGCTTACCCATGTTATTAGATGTGGTATGCGGATGCCTTGTGGTACAGAGTCCAAGTTACTGTGTGGCTGGATGTGGGCACATCAGTTGTGCGCAATAATTATAAGAAAATTACAAAGATTATAAAAATATAAAAAATACTCAATTATGAGATTATAAAGTAGTAGGCATGCGAAATTTAGTGTGCTGCCTTGGTCCCTGAGAAATATAAACATTTACTGCATAGTGCTCACAAATTAACATCATTTCATTAGCATGCAAAATAACTTGATCTAATCCATTCACTGTGTCGAATAAAAAACATCTGATAGCAAGCAGCTAAGCAAGCAAGCCTGATATGATACTAATAATGGTATCTGCAAAGTGTACATTTTTTTTTTGGGTAACTAGCTGCAAAATGAACATTTCCCAAACGAATTTCAGTTTCCATATGATTGAAGTTGAATCCCCATATAACCAAAATAATTGGCTCTAAAGGGCTATTATTTGTTTTGGGGGTTGTGGGTTATATAACCCCCTCAAACCTTTTTCCTGTTCTTGGAGAAAATGATGATAACAGCCTTGTCGTGAGCCATTTTCCCATACACAAGTGGGATCTATTGATCATGTGGCATGATGCGACTGCATAAGTTAAACCACATCTGCAGGGCCTATGTGGTGTATGTGCCTCCTAGGCATGCTCATCAGGTAAACCTGTCTAGGTAGCCAATGTATTGAGGTGGCTGCATAATGCGTTATGACCACATTTGATAACCATGATCCTTACATCGTATCTCAAGGTCCTCTCGCTTTGAATCCTGGTGTTATATTTGTCATTTGTGAGGCTGGTTTTAGTATTTTATTATTGCTATCATATTTAGCTCAACACCTCTTTATTTATATGTTGGCTGTATACAATGAATGTTTCAAGTTAAACTTATATGATGTCAAATAGCTTATAAAAACTAGTTTGAGAGTGTCTAATGTTTGGTTTGTGCTTTTCTTGCAGATTCTAATCAAGCTAAGCTGCTGGATTGGCATAAAAGATTTGATATTATATTAGGTGTTGCTGAAGGCCTGTCCTATCTTCATGAGGAGTCGGAAATCCGGATCATCCACAGGGATATCAAGGCTAGTAATATCCTCTTGGATGATAAATTAAAGGCCAAAATAACAGATTTTGGGCTTGCAAGATCTTTTGCAGAGGATCAAACCCATCTTAGCACTGGAATCGCAGGGACATTGTACAAACCCTAACCCTTTATCTCATTTCAAATGAAATTCCTTCTTCAGACTTTTTCATTATTGAATCTGGGTTTTCTGTATTGTGTTCTTTTAATACCGAAATCTTCTGATTTCCATTGCCATTTCTATTTTTCATTATTGAATCTGGGTTGTGTGTACACTCTGCTTTTAATACTCAAATCCTCTGATTTTCAGAGCCATTTCTATATTTCCTCCAGGTAAATTTGAATATGAATACTTTAGTGCCTGTTCTAACTTAAGGAGCTTGATTTAGGGGTTATCTGGCTCCTGAATATATAGTCCATGGACAGCTTACTGAGAAAGCAGATGTATACAGCTTTGGAGTTCTTATTCTTGAAATTATAACCGGTGAGCGGTGCAATGTTGGAATTGGAGCACAACCTGGCAAATTTTTCCTCGCTAAGGTACCTAACGATCCTATGTCACAAAGTTCAACAAATTTTTTTTTTGAACTGAGTGTAGTCAATTGCATACAACCACCTAATTTGAAATATGGCGGACAAGAATGATTGTGACCTCCATATAATAATGATAAACGATCTCTTTGTATACTTTTTCATAAAGGGATTGTGTACTAGGAGACCTTTTCTATTTGTTACTTTTCCATAGATGAAATATAATACAAACATTTCCTAAACATGAGAATTGTAAACGTTTTTCCATAAAGGGATTGAGCTTCTCTATTTGTTACTTTTCCATAAAATGAAATATAATACAAACATTTCCTAAACATGAGAATTATAATCCTTGTCTTTGAATTTTCTTTGTGCTTTTATCCAGATATGGAATCACTATAAAGCCAACAAAGTTGAGGGAATAATAGATGACAACATATACAATGAGTGCTTCCGGGATGAGATCTTGCATGTGGTGCAAGTGAGTCTTTTGTGCACACAGGCCACCCCAAGCTTGCGACCGCCTATGCCAAGGATTGTAGAGTTACTGAGAAGTACTGATGCGCATGAGCTTGTTCCTACCGATCCCCCCTATTTAGATGTTCTAAACGAACATTTGAGAGGAGAAACTGAAGTCTCGGATCGTTTATCTGTCCCTTGTGCTATGAATTTTTCAGTGTCATCTGCTTCCTCAAGTGGGATAAAAGGCAGATGAAGGATGAGAAATAACCACCTTGTTTTTCTCATTTGGGAATTATTGAGCCACAAATCATGATTTTCAGGTCCTTTATCTTGTTGGTGAGAGGGTCTTTTGTATCTGAGGTTCCACAATGAGGTCCTGAAAGCCCGATCAGGATGGCCGTCCCCTCCTTTATTGTTTTCAGCATGTCACTCCATTCAGGAAATGTGCACATGAGATGTTGCTCTAGTGAATGTCCTTATGTAACCGGTCACAGTTTTATCAAATTTTCAGGTTTTTATACCTAATTTAGGGTTAATGTGATTTGTTAGAATCTCTTGAAAATGCTCCAAGCTCTTGAAACACTCCATGCAGTCATGCAGCGTTTTTGGAGTTGGCCGACGCTCGGTTTCGGCCTTGTCGAGTACTAGCAAGTACCTTGATACAAAATAAAGGGGGGCTGTGCCTCATATTTCATCTCCATCTAAAATGTGGGCACTATCCCCCTTTCATCTATCTTTCTCTTTACTCCGTTACTCTCTCTCTCTCAAAAAGGGTCATTTTCGCCCCCATTTTCATTCCTCTCTCTGAAGGGGTGATTTTTGCCCCCGTTTTTCATTCCACACTCTCTCCCTTTCATTTTTTTCCTCTTTTTCACTCTCCTCTCCCGGAAAGGGGGGGCAAAAGTTTGCCCCTTTTATTATCTCTCTTTAAAAGGGGTGGAAGTCCACCCCCTTTTCATTTCTCTCTACAAATTTATATGTTGAGAGAGAGGGAGAGGGATGCGGCCAAAAGCCCCTCTCTGCCCAGTGCCTCTCTCTCACGTTGGCAAAGCCCATCTTTTTTCTTTAGTGTGTTTATTTATTTATTTACTTATTTATAGGACGAATCCACTTACTAACTTAGCTCTGTTTATTTATTTATTTATTTATTTACTTATTTATAGGACGAATCCACTTACTAACTTAGCTCGAGCCATAGCTGAATCATCCGCCCGAGCAGAGTCCAAAAAACACTTGCTTCTTTACCTTCCCATTGTTAAAGCATTCCCCAACTTGATTAAACTATAGCTTGAGTAGACGGGCGGCTTCTGATAGTAAAATTACTGAAATTACATCGTTTTAATAACCAAGGATGAGATCATGGATGGTGGAAAAGCCGGTGGTGGTACACTTGATCAGACACCATGCCACAATTACAGCAAGCAAAGGTAAAATAAAAAATATAATTTGGCCTGATGCCCTTCTTCTCAATCAATATGTTTGTGCGCACTCAGTTTGTCTGAGCCATACCGACATGAAAAAGCCCTACATGTAGGGTTGTCAACTGGGCCGAGCCAGGGCCAGGTTAAATAAAATCATCGGAAAAAAAATAAAAAATAAAGGGCCGGCAGGGCCAAACTAGATCGTCCCTGGCCCAGGCCTGAGGGCCACATTTTGTGTCCTAGATCCTAGATTGTCCCTGCCCCAGGCCTGATGGCTACATTTTGTGTCCTAGATCCTAGGTTTTAGGACAAGGCTGACCGAGCCGTGCCCAAGCCATCTGGCCCATTGCCACCCCTAATGAACCTTCTCGATCGTCTTTCTTCTTGTTCGGCATCTTTAATATTTTGGTTTTATGTGTCCTCTATACCATCTTCTTCTTTCATTCTTTTTTTTTTTTTTTCGGTCTCTTGTTTTCTTCTTCCTTTTCATTATTATTATCATTCGAATGGTTAAGAATTTTTTTCATTAAAAATAGCTTCCAAAGTACAGCCCGTTTGGATACAAGGAAATTAAGAATTTTAGATATTTGAAATCCAAAGAAATCTATGGATTTTCAATATCAAGGATTTTTGTCATGGATTTATCAAAGCTCTTGTTTGGATAAACTATACAAAATTCATGGATTCCTTGCAATCACTTCCATGTCCATTGTTTGGTAACAAAACTTGATACAATTTCTCTCTCTAAAATTTGATATATTTTCTCTCTCTAAAATTTAAAATTTTAGATATTTTCTCTTTCTAAAACTTAAATTTTGAGATAGTTTCTCTCTAAAGTTTTTTGAGATAGTTTCTCTCTTTAAAAATTTCATGTACTTTCTCTATCTAAATTTTGATATAGTTTATCTCTCCAAAATTTTAAAATGCTTCTGTCTCTAAAACATAAATTTTGTGATAGTTTCTCTCTTCATAAATTTTAGATATAATTTCTATCTCTAAAAATTTTTAAGTAGTTTCTCTCTCTAAAAATTGATATAATTTTTATTTTAAAATTTTAATATATTTTCTCTTTCTAAAATTCCAAATTCGAAATTGTTTCTCTGAAATTCAAAATTTATGATAGCTTTTCTCTCTAAAAACCAAGATATTTCTCTCTCTAATTTTTTTGGCAGTTTCTCTTTCTAGAATTTGTAATAATTTATTTCTAAAAGTTTGAGAATATTTCTCTCTCTACAATTTTAAGAATACTCTCTCCCTCTAAAACTCAAGATTTGATATACTTTCTCTCTTTAAAATTTAAAATATGAGATTGTTTCTCTCTCTAAAAGTTTTGAAATAGTTTCTCTCTCTAAAAGTTTTGAAATAGTTTCTCTCTCTAAAAGTTTTGAAATAGTTTCTCCCTCTAAAAATTTACATATATTTTCTCTCTCTAAAATATGATAGTTTATATCTAAAACTTAAAATTTGAGATATTTTTCTCTCTAAAATTTTTACATAGTTTATCTCTCTGAAAAAAATTGGTACTTTTGCTGTCTAAAATTTTATCATACTTTCTCTCTCTAAAAGTTAAATTTTGAGATAGTTTCTCTCTCTAAAATTTTGAGATAGTTAATCTCTTTAAAAAAATTGATACGTTTTTTCTCTAAAATTTTAACATACTTTCTCTTTGTAAAATTTTAACAGACTCTCTCTCTAAAAGTTAAAATTTGAGATAGTTTCTCTCGCTAAAATTTTGAGATAGTCCATCTTGTTAAAAAAATTTGGTATTTTCTCTCCCTAGAATGTTAACCTACTTTCTCTCTCTTAAAATTTTAACGTACTTTCTTTCTCTAAAATTTTATCATACTTTTTCTCTCTAGAAGTTAAAATTTGAGATAGTTTCTCTCTCTAAAAATTTTGAGATAGTTTCTCTCTTTAAAAAATTTAAGTACTTTCTCTCTCTAAAATTTTCTTACCTACAAAATGCTCCTTATGTTTCGGGTTGGAAATGAAAGCATAGAAAAGTATGTCTTATTTCCATGATTTTGATTTTCTTGATTTTAAGTATCCTAGTCATTAAGCAATCTAAACGGTGGATTTTAGCAAAATCCAAGATATTAGGAATCCATGTACCGAAACAGACCCTAAGATTCATGTACAAAATCCCTTCCTAAGCCCAATCCAAGTTTTAAACCTTGCTTCCAATTATTCATGCCATAAACATAAATGCCTCTGAACAAAAAAAAAAATTCTCCCTGGTGATTTTGTATTACCATACCAATAACATCGGCCATAAAGTGGGCATCTTACCAACCCTATGATAGTGCCTTGGGTACGGTGCTGAATCCTAATTACAGCGGATATAATCTAATAAAGTTAGTGTTGCAACCGGGCCAGGCCAAAGTGCAGTAACGCCCGGAAATGCTCAGGCCATGCATGGTAAAGCTCGACCTGGCCCGAAGCCGGGCCCAATCCATTAGAATGGTAAACCCTAAAGAAAGTGAAGGTTCTTTCACAGATACTAATTGATTATTTTCTTTTTCAGTATGGCACTATTGCCCTAGTCTTTTCTTTTTTTCTTTTTTCCTTTTTTTTTCTTTTTTTTTTCATAAATTAGGTTTCTTATAAGGATGTGGTTTATATAGAGCCGAGGCTGTAAACAATCAAAGTAGAGCCCACCTTCAAATAGTCTCAATAAATGCGGTTTTAATATTGGAAATCTTTGTGATAGCCTTAAATATATCTCCATTTTTAATTATAAAATTTAAAGCTTGAAAAATAGTTTAGATCGAGTAGATATATGAAAACTTGAAAATTTTTAAAAATTAACGGTCAGAAAATACGTTACAAGATGCACTATTTTTAAAACTTAAAATTCATTTTTTCTCATGTCAATGCATCTTGATGTCAAAATGATCAATTTGAGCATTAAAACAATATCTTCTAGTAAAATTTTTGTGGTAGGCTTTAATTTGATTGTTTAAAGCCTCGGCACTATATAAACTTTTTCTTCTTATAAAGCATTTTTGAGAACTAAGGACAAATTTTGGCCACTTGGCCGGAGTTAACCCAGAAATGGAGAAGAAATGAAATGACCCTCACATCTCCTAATCAACCTCAGCATTTATTTTTCCTTTTTCTGTCCCAACTATTCATTATTGGGCCACCAATTTTTTCCTCTCCTACTATTGTCATTTTGCACTCTGGACCATCCCCTTGTCTAATTTTTAATGTCTTGGAGATAAATGAGCCATTAATTATTCCCCTCTTTTTTTTTCTTCATTCCCCACAACACCCCAAGCCAAGATAAGTCCAACCTTCACTGTTTTTTCTCTCTAATGGCTTCCTAGGCTAGCATGAATATAAGACCAAATTGGTGATTGGTCACAAAGTTGGAAGAAATATTTTTTGAACTTTGAGTTTTGTCAATGGCATAATTGTAGCCACCCAACATATAATGAACAAGATTAAATGTTATTACACCAACGGTAAATGGACTCATTACATATTTTCCTTAATTAAATATAAAATCTATCACATGTACTATTTTTCTGAAGTGAAACCTTACATAAAAACTTCTTCCTCTTCATTAATACATAATTAACAAATGCTACTCTAAATAGTACAACAAGAACTCCATACGTCGAAGCATTTATGGAAATGTCCTTACTAATTATTCTTCAAATCAAAATTTGAGGAAATGATGATCTTTTGGATAATTGAGTATTGCACGTGTAAGCTATTAACCCGATGGGTTGAATTTTGACAAATAAAGTAAAAAATATATATAACAAGCAATAAACAAAAAAAATAAAATAGAAAAGAAACTTTGAGCACCTTAGGTTAACCGTGTATCCACCTAATTTAGAATCATGCGTTTAGTCACCAACCTAATCCCGTATAGTGGGTGGCAAATTACTATGAGCCAAAGGCCGTTGGAATGCACCTAAATAAACAGATTTTGTGAGTGAAAAGTAGAAATATACTTAATATCTACACTTCTTCTTTTTAGTTGATTCCTTTACAACTGCATTTCCCTTATGATAGAACCAAGATATTAGCTGCCGATCCACCTACTCTCTAGGGGTGGCAACAGTCCTGATGGCCCGGCCCGGTACAAAAAAAAGGAAAAAAAG